TGGGATGGCGTGATTTGGCGGATCACTCCTGCCAACTCTTTGGGGGTGAGCCTGGTTATACTTCTTGGAACTCCAATGGTGCAGCCCGGAAGTCTTTCATCCTTGGAAATGATCAGGCGGCTGCAGCAATGACCCTTTGTCAAACGTGCAAGCTCCACACTTTTGCTGCGCATCCTGTGCTGGAAGCGCACTTCGACCTCGATGTACTGGTGCGTGATCGTATTGTGTGGCATCTGCCAAGGGATTCCTCATCTTTGCTCATTGACCCGGACACTTTTGACAGTGCTTGTGAGGATTCTTGCAAGAAGCGTTGTGGCAAATTTGGACGTGCCATTGCTGCACATTCCCCGGCCGATGCTCTGCATTGTTTCGCAGTTGCTTTTGATGAGGCTCTTGCTCAAAGCAGTGTGACTCCGACAGGCGAACCTCGCCCTGTTTCTCGTTCGTACCTGGGGCGATGTCGTGGCCCGCTCTTTCGCAGAATCCGAGCGGTAGGACCTGTGGTTGCTCGGGCCAGGGAGGGTGATTACCAATGCTCGGTGCTCCAGCCTGACCGTGATCTGCGTTTGAAGGTCAAGCAAGTTCGCCGCCTTTCCAGTCTTTTGGGTTTGATGGCTAATCTGGAGAAACTACATTCCCGGACTACAGCTGCCATTTGTGAGGAGCTTTGGGTGGCTATTCGAGCTGCAAACGGGTTTCCTGGAGGATTTCCACAGTGGTCGCTCCGGCACTTGAGGATTTTTCTCCCTACTCCTTTGCCGAGCCGCCTTTTCGTTTCTGAGATTCTTGCTGAACTTTCCACTCTTGTGCGGACTCAAGAGCAGCAGGTCCGACTTCAGGAATGCCGTAAGTTTGCTTCCGCTATGGTTTTTGACTGCAATAAAGGTGGCAAAAGAGCTTTTGGTTCCATTCGGGAGCATCAATCCCCACCTTTGTTTGCCTTTGCTCATACCAGCGCCATTCAGGTTTGTCGTCAAAGATGGCCTAAAACTGGTCTTTTGCGGGTTCGATGCCAGGGTGATTTGACCTGTTTTCGTGCCGGGCTCCCGGTTTCTTTTCAGGATCAACAGGTGTTTCTTCGCTCAATTGATGCGCCTTTCCTTCTTTTGGATGCACCACTGAAGCTGCGTACTCAGGAGCTTGTCATTACACAGAAACACTATACGGTCGATGTTCAATTGATGATTCAAGAGGCTGGGGATGCTTGGTCTGCTTTTTGGGGTCGTGATGATCCTGAGGATGACGAGCAGTGGGATCAAGCCTGCCGCTTCGTGACTTGCTTGGAGGATTGCCCTAGCTGTCCTTATCAAGATTTCACTGAGGATTCTTGGCATGACATGCTTCGAGGTGTTAAGTCTGGAAGTGCTCGTGGTAGTGACGGGTTCACTGCTGGTGATCTTCGCTCCATGCATGGGACTATCCTCCAAAGGCTGTTTCAGATATTTAGGCTCGCAGAAGCTGGTATTGGCTGGCCGGCTCGCTTGTTGCAAGCCAAGGTCACCCTACTTGCCAAGAGCGATGAAGTTCCACTGGATCCTTTGGCCACGAGGCCGATTACAGTCCTCAGCCGCCTATACCGTTGCTGGTCCCGTTACCGCTCCCTGCAGGTACTGGCATACTTGCGCACTTTGATGCCTGCATCCATTGCGGGTGGATTGGCCGGTTCGAGTGCAGATATGTTGGCAGCTTTTACTCTCTGCACGCTCGAGGATGCCCGTATGGCCAATGTTGAGAGATGCGGAGCAGTTCTGGATATCATCAAATGCTATAATGCGGTGCCCCGCTGGCCGCTCATTGCACTGTTGGCTCGCATTGGGCTTCCTCGTGAATATGTGGTTGCCTTTGCGGAGGCACTCCGGCACCTCGTTCGTCATTTGGAGATCTTGGGACAGACCTCTCCTGATGGTGTACCCAGCAGTACAGGGATACCAGAGGGCTGCGCTTTTGCGGTGGCTTGCATGGCCTCTATTTCCTTTCTTGCTTCGAGAGTTGTCCAAGCTGATGATTCCACTGTTGAGGCGGCTTTTTATGCTGATAACTGGGGCGTCATTGCTGACAGTGTCCCCGAGCTGCATGATGCACTACAGAAGTTGACCACTATGTTGGCGGCTTGGCGTATGGACCTTTCCGTGCCCAAAAGCTGGCTATGGGGATCCCATGGCTCTACCAGGAAAGATCTTGAGTCCCTGCAGATTGATGGTCAACTTTTTCCGGTCCTACGTGCGGGAGCTGACCTTGGTTGTGACATGGCATATACTGGCAAAGTCTCCAAGAAAGTGACGCGCAAGCGCTGGGGCAAAGCTAAGTCATGCCTGGCTAAACTGCGCAATAAGCGCTATCTGCCACGCTCCTTCAAGGCGACCATGGCCCGTTCTGCTGGCCTTGGGAAGGCCCTTTATGGGGCGGAGCTTGTCCATACAACGAATCTACAGTGGAAGGAACTTCGTGGGCCCATTGGACGCTCTATGGGGTATGTTGGCTCTGGTGGATCCACCTTATTGGCCCTTGCAGTTTTCGATCCAGATCTAGATCCCCAATTTGCCAACTTGGTCAGAACACTGCGCTTTTGGCGCCGGTTCATGCGCATTTTCCCAGGTATGCGTACTAGCTTTCTTGACCACTTGGTGATTTCTGCTGCCTCCGGCAAATCTGGACCGGCTCAAGCGCTTCGCAAGACCTTCTTGGCTGTTGGCATTACACCGCTTGCTGAGGGCTTTTTGGTGCTGGAATCAGGCCTTCGTGTGGCTTGGTTGCATGACAGCTGGGGCGCCTTGCACAGTTTCCTGACTGTGGCATGGAGGCAGCATGTTTGTAGAGCTCTTGCACATCGCTGGGATTTCGACTTGTCATCCTTTGACCCCGAGCCTTGTTTGGCTAGCCTCAAAGACATGACTCCCCAGGAGCAGGGAATTTTGCGCACTGTCGTTGGTGGGAAAAATATCACCCATGAAGTCTTGACTCGTTATGCAGCCCAAGTCAAATCTGATCGTTGCCCATCCTGTTCTTCACGTGATGGTCGTGATCACCGGATTCTTGAATGTGATGGTCATGCTCGTGTTCGCACTGACTGTGCTTTGACACTTCGGTGGCTCCGCCAGCGGCCGATGGCGACTTTGCACTACGGCTTGTGCCCTGCAGTTGATGACCTTTGGCTGTGGAAGCAGGAAGCGTGTGGTGATTTTCCAGCCCTCCAGTTGCCTTCGCCCTCGACGAGTGGTCAGGTATACACTGACGGAAGCTGTTTCTTCAATACACAGCGTACGTTTGCTATTGCTGGCTTTGCAGTTCGACGTGTGGCTGGGAAGAAAAGTTTTCTCGTGGCTAAGGGGCTTGTCCCTGGCATTGATCAAACCCCATATCGGGGAGAGGCTATGGCTGTGCTCTGGGCGCTTCAGAACTTTTCCCGCCTTGACCTTTTCGCTGACTGCGAGGCAGTCTTGTTTCGCTTCCAGAAGCTCCTGTCTCGGAGGCTATCTCTTGATGCCTATGTCTATGAGGGTCATGATGACATTTGGACGCGTATTTGGTGGCACGTTTTGCAGCGCCCTCCGGACTCGATCGTGACTCATAAGGTCAAGGCTCACGTCCGATGGCAGTCGGTTTCGGATCCTGTATTACGTGATGAAGCTCGCCTGAATGGTCTGGTCGATGCTGATGCCAAATCGGCTATCCAGGACCATCCCAGTGGGATTTTTAGACGCTTGGAGAAGGCGTCTCAACAGCATGCCCACCTTTGTGCTGGTGTTCGGGCTATTCATCGTTTTTGGGCCACTAGCTGCAAGCAGTCTTTGGCTGAGCAGCCCTCCGAGCGTCATTTGCAGGGCTGGCAACTTCCTGATCCTGCCCTTTTGATTCCTGATGGTGAGGTGGTTGCTTTTGTCCCCTTCGATGTCGATGCTCTGATGGCTCAAGGGTTCCCTTTCGGTCGCCTTTTCTGTCAGAGGTTGTGTACATGGTGGAATAATTTGACTTGGTGCCAGCACTCCGAGCCTATTTCCATTTTAGAACTGTATGCAGATTTTTCTTTGCAGACCAGGTCGACTACACCTGGTCGGACGTCAAAGAAACCTTTACGATGGGAATTGCGAGACCAGTCGGTTGCTGCTGATCTTGCTCCGAAGACTTTGGGAGCTCAGCTCCGTATTTGGGGCCTTGTGCTGAAGTGGTTGTTTGAGGTTCATCCTGAGGGCTTTCCTTCCGCCTGGATTCCTCGATGTTCCTCCATGCTGATTTTTGGCTACAAACGCTATTTCAGTGGTTTCGACAGCAGGCCCAAGCTGGCATACTCCAGTCTCGCGGCTCTCTGGCACTACCTTCACCCTCCAGAGGGCAATCTTCATCAGTTGACACGTCTTTGGCCACCAGCTTCGAAAGCTGCGCTTGGCGGCGCATAGGACTTTAGGATTGTCTGTGGCCCTCACGTTTCCTGGGGGGTCCCAGCGCCACCTAATACGGGTGTGCACCACGTCGCAAAGCCGCAAAACCCATTGGTTGGGGGTCTCCCCATTTCAATACACAACCATATGTGAGTTGACCAACAGGGTGTAGATCACAATGTTGCCATTTCAGGCCATGTCACTGCATGTGAGGCCATGATCTGGTGTGCCCGACTGATGCGTGCACGAAGTGCTCGACGTGTGCAGGGCAGGGTTCCCAACAACCAGAACATGCAAAGGTGACAAAGGTTGAAGGACCCAGACTATCCCATATATAGGTACCAGGAAGGTCCTTTGTCAGATCACTTAACCTCTCTTGGCAGGTGACAGCTGAGTCGTCATTGGGATTCGAAGACAGCTGAGTCGTCATTGGCGTCGTAAGAATGTTCGATGTCGATCGCACGAGTCGTTGCACCACTTCGTGGATGGTCGGTCTTTACCAATCGCCGATTCATGGGAGATGCTTTTTTCATCTTCTTTTAGACCCCGCAATCAAGGGCTCACAGCTGGACAGTCTCAAATCCCTCCACACGTTCTTCCTCCAATTCTTGCAATCCAGGAATCTTCTGCTGACCAGCACTGGCGTTCGCATCAACCTCGACCTGATCGGCCGCCAGCTGGCCCAGTCTATCTTGCGATTATATAGGATCTTTGATTCATACTTGACTGATCTTGACTGAATCAATCTGAGACTCCCTAAATCTCAGTAAACCCAGCTTTTCGCCAAAACTGACTCCAACTGCTGACCCTTCCCTCATCTTCCCTTCGAAAACTGGTCGATTCCACAGGGACCGAATGTCTGGTCGTGTGAGTTGAGTAGTTTGATTGCTCATGAAATCGTCCATTTCACGCGTGGACAAATCGTCCATGGACAGATCGTCCATTTCGGCCCGAGAGCGCCTGCTACGACCCAGCAGAGTCCACCAGAAGTCTTACCACGGAAGGTCCCCGACGTTGTCAGGGAGAAGCTCTCCAAAAACATGAACCAGGGAATGCTAGGAGGAATGAGAATATGAATCTGAAGGTCCGTATCAGAATCCGGGTACTGCCCCACCACCCCACTCCTTGTCAACTGTCCATTGTGGACCACAATAATTTACTCATCCACCCATGTAATCCCATGCACAGATCCCTGGATTTGGGCTCCAAGCGAACTAACACAAAATCTGTTTGTTGACGGTCTTTGTTGAGGATTTCATGTCCGACTTGTGCGGGGCTTGACGGTTTTTCTGGCCATTTCGAGGTTCCTCCTAGGAGCTCGACAGCTTCCACAATCCTCTTGAAGTGATCCTGTGTGAACGTGATCAACATGGGGGGACAAGCCGGGGGGGCTAAGGCTAGAGGAACAAAACTCCTTCCGACTCCTCTGCGACTCTGCGTTTTGATTTCGCAAGCCGCAAGACATGTGAAAAGAATCTAACAAAAAGGAAACAGCTTTGGCGCTCGGCTGTCAGACTCTTGCTACTTACAATAACTTGTAATCAATGACTTCCGAAGAAGACCATCAAGCCCAAGGGTCACAACATGATCTACACCAATGGAACTTCTTGAAGTTCGACCGAAACACCAATGAAACTTGGCACTGGAACAGCGTTCCATCGCTGCAAGCGGTGTGGCTTTCAGGTCCTTCATTTGTTGCTTGTAGATGACCAGGCCACACCTCAGTCAGGTCAGGTCCGCACCGGTGCCGCACCGGTCGATCCAGCCGGACCCGACCCAGCTCCGCTGTGGACAGGGACAGAGTGTCCAAAAGCAAGGCCACAAGGCAAAAAGGACCATCCGAATGTATCATTGTGCTTAATTATTCAATACAAGTAACATCAAGTAACCACCACAAGGCTCTGTCACATCTGACTTCCTGTGCCAGTCAGGGATGATGACAAGAAGTGTGAAAACCTTGTTCCACATTGACGTGGTGTCAACCAGTGGTCTTAACCACTGGTGTCAACCACGGGTGATTGTAAAACCTTTTAATATAGTGCGAAGAAGAATTCATCATGAGTCATGAGCATTTGTTTGAAGAACGATTTTTTTTGAAGGGGGAGTATTCATCAATACCGGGGGATGTTTAAAGCCTATTTTGATAGATATGATATGAGTCATGAGGAACTGATCTCCGCACGACGAGCTCGGCCAAGCTCCGTGACGACTTCAGCAGCTGATGCTGCGTCGCTCGGAGCAACTCCTTGTCGGTCGGAGCTCGGTCACGTGGAGCGAAGGTCGAACGATGCTGCGATGAACAGAAACTGATTGAGGTCAGCGGCTGGTCGAACGCGGTCGGCTGGTTCTGGTCTACTGAGTCTACTCATTTGTTTCTGGGCAAACATCTTTAACTCACGAAAGAACTTGTGGATCCATCGACTTGCTTGATCTCGCGGGAAAAGCGGAATATGTCCGTTGCAGTTCATGTGGGTGCACTTTTTTGGGGGGGAGAACCAATTAACCCATGGTGGTTGGTCTATGTCCGTCTATGTCCTTCTTGGTTGTGGCTCTGCCATGGTGGATGCTGTCCGTCACATCTGAGCGCTCAGTCCTTTCGAGGCATCTGTGGCTCCAGCGCTGATGGAACCTGGTGAGTCACTCAACACAGACCCCAGCAACAGCTGACCATGGCAGCCTCTTCTTGATGTTGATGGAATATAGATATGTACATATGTGTATGTATATATATATATATATATGAATGGTGGATCAAACAGGTCAAATCCAAACATTATCTTGAAACACATTGATATGCACGCTGCAGTGGCAGGTAACAAAGTACTGCCTCTTTAAAATCACGTCACGTGTGGCAGCCAACCCTGCCATATGTTAACTTATCGATCTAAAAAAACATTGAAATCTTATCCAAAAAAAGTTAGGTCAGGTGTTCTGCAGTGCTTCAGGAGCACTAAAAAGCAAACCCAGAACCTCCTCAACCCGCTGGAGCATGGGAAGTAAATGCCCCACGCCTCCACTGGAGGCTTCTTGGGCCTCCTGGGGGTTCTGAATACTGGAGGCTTCCTGGCGCGGTGACCCACCGCTTCGCCGATTTTCAGCGAGACCTTCCCGTCCACTCTGACACTCAGGTCAGCAACCTTGGACCTGACTTATCATGATCCAACTCCCGTGATCGCTCCAAAAGATGAGTCTGAAGGCTCCCCGTTTTGGAATATAAAGACCTTCGGTCCCACCAGCTAGTAGGTTCCCCAAGCGAGTGGGGATCTCCCAACGGGGCGTGAGTTGTGGGAGCTCCATGAAGCATCTCCCCATCTGCCTGGGCGATAACGACCGGGAGCTGCTCGAGTGCATCCGAGGTGACCTGGGAGTGAGCACCTCGGTGGCGAAGGTGTGGAAAAGGTAGGTGATGTTTATTGGTCTTCTCACCTACAACTTCAGACTCGGATTCCATGAGGCAACAATTGAAGCCTTAGGTCTTAGATGGTCTTAGTATCCTTGGACTGCTTCCAAGGTGTCTGGGTCCCTCTGAAGGATCTTCGCCAGTGCACTTGCGACCAGTTAAAGGCTTGGAACCAGTTTATCAAAAAAAAAAGAAGGGAATCAGAGTCTGCAAACAACAGCTTGTCGAGATGCTTGGCCCACAGTACTGAGCTTCATGATTTCGGGGAAGACTTTGAAGATCCCCTCATTTTTGGAAGAAGCCCTGCTCACCTGGTGTTTCTCCAGAAGTGGCAGCGACTCATCTTCGCCGCCGTGACTCGCTCCTGGTCGCTTTGGAAACTTTAAGTCGCCTAGTATTCATGTAGGAACAAGCCAATCTCATTAAAGGCACTTGCTGGATTTAAGTGGAAGAGAAGGGACTACACCCACTGAGCCAGCTCTCATCACTCCTCTCAGTTCCCTCGATTTAGCTCCCCCACGAGACGCAAGCGCTGCCGCAGTGATGGCCGCTGCTGCAATAGCATCGAGGCCCCAGGGTCCTGCAGGGGGCTACAGTAGCGGCTAGTGTTGACTGTTGATGAAAGAACCCCCCTGCCAGGTTCAATTCACCAACACTCAACATTCAGACACCCTAGGAGGAGTCATCTCATGTCATCTCGAATGCTTTCAGTGGATGCTGGGTGGTCATCTGCACACCGGTTGCGTATCAGATTTGCCTTCAAAATGAACCCAGTTCTTAAGTGTCAAAGGCCGCCTGCTCCACCAGCAACGTAGGAGGATCAATGGGCTTGGCCATGGCCTGCGCGAATGACGCGTTTCGGCAATGAAGCGCAGCGCCGCAGCGCACATCCAGTGTGGTGGGAACGATGCGGATGTGTTAAGCAAAAGATCCACTGAACGTGCAAGTTGACCCTACCTCCAACAATCATGGAAATTGGAAAACCTACTGTATATATAAAGATGTATTAGCCACATTCCCCCTCTTCCAAAGGCCACACTTCCATGCTTTCCAGGAGGGAAGTACTTACATCAAAACCATGTCAAAACCTCGGAATTTCAACATCTCTATCAAAATATCTTGCTTTCTTGAAACCCACCGACCCACCCCAGAACCCCCCTGTCCCAAACCCTCCTTTGGCCATTTGGCTTGGCCAACGAATTTGGACATCCCCCTTTTCCCCATCAAAACCAACCAACCACCCCATGAAGTCAACGCCGGTTTCGTGCGGCGGCGTCGCGTCAGGTGCGCCACACCTTCAAGCGCGCCAGGTTTCGTCGTCGCTCCGCGCGGCGCTCCTCCGCCTACGGTGACCCGTGTGGAGCGGGTTGAGCCGTGTTGGGTGAGGAGTGAGAGGTGTCCGTTTTTGGAAGAGGTGAAGAAAGCGCGAAGCGTTGGAGGAAGAGAGACCGTTGAAGAGCCCTTTTTGTTGAGCCCTTGAAGAAGAACGAGAGAAGCCAACAACATTCAGGTTGAGTGGTGCAGTTTCAGAGGTCCGTGTCGTTCAGCCATGATACGAAATGATGTGATATTGATCAGAATGGTGAGACAAGACCATCCCAAAACATCTGCTGGAACAGAAGCGAAGCGAAGCGAAATAGGGTCCGACTTTCTTTCCCAAAACATCTGTGTGACCATCAAGGGCCCAACACATCTGTGTGACAAAACAAGACATCAAGACATCCAAGGGTGGCAGTTTTCAGATCCACAAGCGTGGCAGTGTGGCTCCTGGAACCAGAACACCGGGCGAGATGTGACCAGCATCGACAGATCGACCGCAGATCGACAGATCAGCCCCACTGCTGAATCTCCAACTGCTAATCACCAACTCATCACCAACTGATCATATCAATTTATATAATCGCCACTTCATTGCTAATCATCTTCAAGTCTGATGTCTTTTGGTGCCTCTGCCTCGCCCTGTAGACAAGAAACCCTGCATGCGATGGGCGAGGAGGTTGGACTGTAGATCAATCCCCCGGTTCAAGGCATCCCCCTGCTCAAGGAACCCCACCTGCTGCTGATGCCGTTGAGCATAGGCCTCTGAAGAGAAGGTCGGCGCAAGAATAACAGTTCACAAGTGGCCGCATAGATTGCGGAATGTTGCAGATGGACACAACATTGGAGATTGACTTATAGAACATTCAGTTTTACAATGGTTTATCTCCAAAAACCTATGGACTGTATGACTGTATTTCTACCATCTTCATCCATCTTCCATGTCTACGAAGGCACCCATCGAAACCCACTGGATGCGCACGACTTGTGGTTCCGCATCGCTGTGGATGCAGCAAATCCCCTTCGGACCATCTCGGACCATCCCCTTCGAGCGCCCGATGAGGGCCATGGAAAAACATTGGATCGTGCACGTCCAGCCAACTCGTGTTGAGTAAGTTCATGTTTCATTCTTTGTGAGCTGTGAAAAACAGTTCACCTGTTACTCCGCAGGAATTGACATGCTTTGAACCCAAAAACGGGCAGTCCGGATCTCCGGATCTGTCATTGCTGACACACACACACACACACACACTTACTTGAGATATGATGCATTCGGTCTGAATGCCACTTGCCCCAACGCCGTGAAAAGACATCTGGGTAGAATGAGTGCCAAGGAGTTCAACCATGGAAAGTAATCTCAAAGCAAAGGCCCTCGATCGAGTCGAGAAGTCGATCGAAGAAATCAAGTCTTCAAAGTCATTAGCACTTTAATGCAAAGCACCAAATGAGACGGCATTGACCATACACAAGCTCATGATAGCTCATGGAGATTGCAGGGAGTCGACTCCCTGCCCCGAAAATGCGCCGATTTCACGATGGGCTCCCTGTGATTCCAAGGGAAACCGCACACCACACATTCCAAGGTTTGCGCCGGTCCCGCCTCGGCGAGTTCCCTCTCTTCCTGCTGGCGAAGACTCTCCAGCTCAATGTTCTGTATGCGTGCCTCAAGACCACCACGCAATGGCGACCATTTCAGATCAAATTCCGAAGCATTGAGGCCACATTCATCGAAATTTGGTTCATTCTCTTCACTTATCGGATCATTCTGATCCTTCTTCCATGTGCAGCAACTTGGGAGCATGCACCATTGGCTACAATACTCCGCAAAGCGGCAACCATTGGCTACGACCCTCGACGGTCTCAACTCCACTCCTTTGCAACGAGGTGCTCTTGCCAAGGACCGCTTCAAGAACGCCAGGTGTTCGGCCTGCGCGGAAACAGAAGACCGCGGTAACTTTCTTGAAATCTGGTGATGATCCGATGAACTGGTGAAAATCCGAGGTACTGTAACTCGAGAAACTTCCGTGCAATCTGGGTGCATTAAATCTAACTTATGAGTGTGACTGAGTGTGAGGTTCGACCACCAAAATGCAGAGGCTTGCGGCCACAACAGCCTTTCACAAGTGGTGCTTCATGACAAGCGTTGACCAGTTGTTTTTCCGTGTGACTCAATCCTTGACAAACAAATCCAAAAGGCCCACTTGACTTGTGTCCCTTTGCACACGAAAGGACAACATGTACAGTGTACAGTAAATATGTGCAATGTTATGATGCATCATGCATCTGACAGACTTTTATACTTTTCGAGCGAAGGACATTCGCCGTCTCCGGCCATGGAGTGCTGCCTGTGACATGCTGTGATGCCGCAGATCCTCCTGAGGACACCCAAAATGCAACCATCAAACACTTAAACAACAGTTAAGCCTTTAACCTGATGATATAACTGTCCCATCTGGTTCATCCGATGCTTGGAAAGCCTGATTCACCCATTCTAAGGTGGTCATTCTGCCAACATCGGCCCTTCATCAGCCGACTTCAGGTGAATGTCCATGTGTGTCTCGCAGACCTCATTTGAAGGATGGACAAGTACTCGTGCCCCCAAACAGCAACCATCACAAAACGATCTCTGACATGCTGAGCATGGATGCTGTTTGATGCTTAGCGACTGCTCGAACAACCGTCCTGTGAGGATCGGCGCTGCAGCTCCGGCAACCTCGTGTCGCGGCCCAAACAAAAAGGAAGGCACCCCGCAAGAACCACGTCGCCCGTTTTGTGCTTGAAGGGGAAATCAAGAACGATAAAGTTGTGTTGCCACTGTAGTATCAAATTAAGTCACTGTAGTATCAAATTAAGTCACTGTGGTATCAAATTAAGTATCATATGATAACTTATAATATATATATATATATGTTATATGATCAAATACCCCCTTCTCACGGAGAACACCATGCGGTCTTCTGGGTGGAACACCCATCCACGATTCCCACGCTCGGTTCGGACACCGATCGGATGGCCGTCTGGCCGTCTGGGGGATAGGACTCAGCGCACCACGACGAGTAAACGAGTCGTGCGCCCAATTTCTGAGGGAAGTACAAGTCTGGCATCACCAGGTGCCATTTGGAGGGCGCTGAAGGCGCTGCATGATCACAGGAAGCGGCTTTCTGCAACTATGATACCTACTGCGTACCAGGAAAATGCTTAGCTAGATAACTGGAATGGCAGGACATGTCCATGATGTCCTGAAACCTCATACAAGCAGAGTAGCACTTGTGCTTCCGCCATGTCTCAATCCTTCTTGCAAAGCTTTTGTTTCTTTATGCTCTTCCAATCACCTGCCCCTTTTCCATGGACCTTGGATCGCTTGTGATGTCTTTCTTCTTATGTCGACAGTCAACTGTCGAACCACGGGAGCGCCACGGTCAGCACAGGTGCAGTCATGAAAAGGGGAAGATATCACATGAAACGACTGGCTGGACTCCATGAGAGAATGACTCCCACCTTCAGATCCTCCAGCCATGAACATAGTTACGAGAGAGCTGGGACTCGAGTTGAGCCCACAAACCCCTCCTGACATAGAAAAGGTGCCTGATCTCCAAGACCTTTCGCGCTGTTCGCACCCCGAAAGGCACTGAACTCTTGCCTCTTGGCCCGCAGAAGGTGGGGAGTTCAGTCAAGTTCCCTCCAGGCAGCCTCCAGGTGCTTTTTTCTTCTAAAGAATTCCCAAATCGTAAAAGCCAAAGATTCCCCATCTAGACTCCAATGGAGATGGGTTTGTTCAACCTCTGATCCCAAGTGAAGGCAACCCTGCAGAACGTGTTCCCAGTTACTACACGAAAAAGCTGTCCTTCTTTCAGATCCAGCTGCGCTGTGCGAACCTGCAAACTCTGCGAACACGCCACGATAACTTCATGGCGATGCATCCAGGTCGATAACTTCATCGATGGAAATGGCCGCTGCTGGCCGCTGCTGGCCGCTGCTGCGCATGATGCCAATACTTACATAGAGGTTCTTCAGTGGACTCGAGGAAACAGCATCAGTCTCTGTAAAAGCCACTTCCAGCATGTATTTCAGCGCCTGAATTCCAACCACAGTCCGGAAGATCATCCGATGTCTACGAGTACTGCCAGCTTTCTTTTAAAGGGCGCCCGAATCAAAGACCAGCGATGTTCGGAACTGCAAAGAGCGCAGCTCTGGAATGGGGCTGGAACATGGCCGCCCCGACTCGGAACCGATCGATCCATGCACTGACGTGCAAGAAACAATGGTTTGGAATAGTGGCTACACCGGCGTACTGGAACCAGACAATTGTGCTTGACACAATTGAAGACTAGAATCAGATTGTCTATGGGGCATTGTCAGAATTGAATGATGTTACTGTTGTGTCATGTTATATCATGTTGTAATTCAACTTGATTCATCCATGTTCATCCGGCTGACTGTTTTCTGTCACAAATCCTGATCGATCTCATCATCCTCATCGTGTCTCACTTCACTTCTCTTGCCTCGACACCGGGCCGAGCACGTGTGGGAAAATGCAATGTCCTGAAAATCAGTGCTTTTCCCGGGGTGAAGCAGCCTTCGCAGCGGATGAATGTAAGGCGGATGCTTAATCTGGGTGGGTCAGAACGAGACCGGTCGCGCCCCAGACATGACTGCCATCCGCCAGTTGACATCCAAGTGTCTGAGAATAGCCAGGGCTATTGGTAGTCTTTGTAGTTATACAAATACACAAATACACCCCCCAAATGCGGAGAGTCAAAGATCAGGCATCCCTCTGCCACGGCTGTCATTACGAAAACGACTGCAACCCTTGGAAACGAATGAATAGCGGGGGTACAACGAACCCGCCGATTCCAGACACGGAACCGATTGTAGATTGTAGAAGCAGGAAGTGTGCACATGCATCTATTTTAGAGTCTGGTTTTTCTTCCAAGGTAGGCTTCTTGGGTTACCACATGCCCTCCTGATTGACTGGAAACCGACAGTCCCTCAAACTAACATCAACATCGAGCAATCGGCTATCACCCAGTAAAGAACGGGGAAAAAAGCTGTCAAACTTGCCCATGTGGCAGCTTGTGGATGATTCCCAGGCCGCCCGGTGGAGAATTTAGGTACCTTGAGAAAAATATATAAATATTACATCGACACTCAATGCAGGAACCTGTGGTGGGGTGCTAGATAGAAAAGTAGATGTCCCCACTCAAAATGTGTTGGAAACCATGCCGCTATCTTGGGACCACTTGACCTCTGAACTCATTCAAACGACCGAGAACCTCGTCCTCACTCCGATCACGTCACGTGGTCGGTCGCATCCGGTCCCCCCGGTCGCCCGGTCGGGCTTCCGCGCACAAACGCATCCGCTCCGCACACAGCCAGCGCTCCCAGTTGGGATGATGCCTCACCAAACAAGGAATCCGAGTTGGGAATCCAAATGGACCGCGTGCCGAACAACAAAAGTGTTCCAAACCGAAGAATGGGATGTAGCAATCAGGACACTGGGGAAAAGAAAGGTCTGGACAACTTGAAAGTAAAGGATATGGCAGGATCATGATATGAAGAGCGATGTCCATGTCCTGAAGCTACTTCTTTTCAAGAGGCTGAGATTGCCAGGCCCGCCAGTTTTGAGAAGAACACTATCATCAGTGAACTCAGTAATAATGATGAAAATGATGTCCCAAATTCCACCTGATCTCTCAAAGAGCTTCTCGAAAAAGGGTAAATCAAACGATAGATAAAGGGTGGCCTACCAAATGTAAAAACAATTAAAAACACGTCCCTTTCGATGTCATCCACACCTGAGAGTGTCTGTCAATTTGGGACCGGTCATAGTCACGTGCCAAGCAAATAGGCCCGGTGGAGGTGATACAAGGCCAGCGCTAATGGTCTTGACATTCCCCTTTGTCCAGCTGAGATTCAGCCATAGTTACAGCCGTTCTCTTTATGTTCAGGGTGCATATATAATAGATGCTTTCACATACCTTCCCTCTCAAAGACCCAAACTTACGCCGAACTTGTGGCCATATACGTCAAAATCACCGCATGGGTTCACCAGGATCGACATGGTCGACCGGGTAACAACGACCAGACCCGTCGTCAGTGTGGACGGAACGCCTCTCGCCAGCCAAGTGCTGCATTTCAGGGATCTTTCGCTGGATCAGCCTGGCATCCAATCGCCACCCATCCAATGGCCACGATTCTTGGAAGGCATCAAGCTGGCTGCAAGCTGCACGCTGTAAGCTGCTGCAGAGTTCCAAATCGGGAGTCTGTCTCTTTTCTCGCCAAGCGAAAAACCCCGGGCCGCGCAGCCACCTCGCCAGGATATCAAAGCGCGACTCCTCCAAAATCGCAGCACCTGGGTGTCACCCGTGTTCGCTCTATCCCGCTGTGGTCAAACCCATCCGAAGCGGCCTCTGGGCTACTGCGGTAGAACGACCGAGGTTGTACGGTGCGTCTCGAAAGTCTTCCAAAAAAGGGGGAGACTCGGGTGCCTGAGTTCACGTACTTGCCATGTGGAACAGCTCGATGCAAAAATGGAGAGAAGATTACATGAATGGATGGATGGACAGCTGAAGAAGGATGGATTGCAATTGAAAGAGTAGACAGCTTCCCAGCTCCCATCCCTGCACTTTAAGGATTCCACAAAGACGCTTGCCCTCACGCTCACCCTCACCAATGACCTGAAGCGGCGACACACTGAGCCCGGTTCGCTTATGACACCAAATGAAGCTCCATGCGTCCCTGTTGCATCCCTGAAGAGATCTCACTTCAGAAGGCCTCAGATGTGAACTATACCACTCAAAGCCCCCAAATGGATGGTTTGAGTGGGAATTGACGAGGGCCATTTCAAGGCATCCATGTAGAACACAGTAGCAGCTTTGGCCGGACGGACCAGCTCCTGTCCCGTCCTCCATCGAAAAGGTTCGGCCGTTCAGCCAGATGGTTCAACGTGTGCCCGAAAAAGAATCGGTGCTTCAACGGTCAAACGATGCGGTCAAAACACCTATTATAACTCATATTACAAGCATGATTTATAAGAACAACCTGATGAAAGCATGTGAAACACCTCGTCTCCCAAGACATCCTCCCACGCGGGTTGTCCCCATTGACCTCCGTCACAACTTCGGACCTCGCTGGCTTCGAAGCGGGCGCTGCCCGACTCGTCCTCCTTCACGGCCTTGCGAACGGACGTCGGAGAAGGGAGGCGACGAAGTGGCGCCACGGAGAATGTGATCGGCGACTGTTTTGTTTATTTTAACTATTCCCTTTCGCAATGACTGGTTTTCCAAAGGTTCTTGGTTCTGTAACGTGTCACACAAATGATTTTGGGGGATCAGTCAGGCGTGATAGTCCGGCTGGATGTCATCCATTGACGGACAGATTGAGGCGACCGCCATGAGAAAAGAATGAAATGAACAATAACTTATATAAGTGTCTTGGTGTTCAAGCTCAAGTCTCAAGTATCTCAATGTTCAAGTCTTCAGCGGTCGAGTCTGAAGCTCTGAATTAAGTGTCTTGGCTTTGGGTATTCGTGGCTTAAGTAGTATCTTGGCACCCCACACACCTGCTTGACTAGCTGTCTTGCGACGTTCAAGGAAGATCCGCAGTGACGCAGAGGTGCTTCGAACTTCTAGCAAGAACAAGAATGTAGACTCTTGATTCATAACCCCCGCCATGTGGATTCTACAGCCTCTTCACATGGTTATTAATTTGGCTATGAATCAATCCAATCCAGGAGTTTACAATAGGAGCAAGAACGCTACTAGGAACAAGAAGCTATTAGGAACAAGTGCATCCAATCCAGGAGTTTACAATAACATGTTTCCCTTGATCTTCCTTTGGCTGGCACTCTTCAGAGCCCACAGGAGTCTACAAGTTCCCCTCCAAGAAGTCACATTTTACTCCCTCTCTCTATTAGGTTGGAGGCCGTCGCTCTTAGGTTGGAGGCCATTGCTATTAGGCTCTCTCTATCGCTCTCTCTCTCTCTCTCTCTCTCTCTTACTTTTCTGTTTTTTTTTCCGTCCTTTTCCTTGTTTCACTCCTGTGCACTCACCGCGTTCTTGTCCGATCCAAAAAAATGGGGATGAGCACCTGTAGGTGCCGCAAGCTGCTACAGGTGGAGTCAATGGCCCTTCTTTTGGCGGCCAGCATCTGCGCAGGGCTCTCCTGAGGAATGATCCAGGATGGATGGGCGTCTGGATGAGTTCTTACTGAACCCACACCGATGCAGTGAGCTCCTCCGTGGAGATCCCATGACCCAGACCCTCAACAAGTCGATCTGACTGTGGGGGGAAGTATACAAACCGCAAACATGTGACATCCTTACTCTCTTTGCCGTGTGATCACACAAAACATATGGCAAAAAGGAGTATTAGATGTCATTTTACGATTTCTTTCAGGGCCTGTGAGAATCCAACAGCGCACCTCCTCGCAACTGATTTGGCCTGTAATCTGTCGTATAATCCCTAGGGACCCAAGTACCTTGTCAGAAGGTGGCTAGAGACTCTGTTATGTCGGTTTGAAGGGTCCAGTCGTACCTTCTGAGGTTCGCTACGAATGGATCGCTAGGGAATGCAGAGATGCTCCGCAACATTGAACGCCGGCGATGGGAGTTCAAAATGCTCCGTCGACGCTGTCGGCCCATTCGGAGCAAGCTCCGTCCTGCTCGTGCACATCGTGAGTGTCTAACCTTGGGAGAGGGCGGCATCGCGTGATCCATGGCCACGCGACGCACGTCGCAAGGAGAGGGGCACGACTGGGGTGTAATTCATTCATCTCTATTACAGCCATTGCGAAATCACCTTCATAAGTCTCTTTTTTGATGCATCGTGGACAAGTCAGGCACATTGAAATCCTGTTTCAGCTAAAAGAGTTCTGAAGAACGCCGTCCAGCCATCGCTTCTCTTGTCGAAAAATAACCATCTGAGCAGAACAAAAACTCCGATTCTCCAAGTTATCGTCACAAAAACGACCAAGTTACCCAAGTGATCCCAAGTGTCATGTGTTTTTCAAGTCATTGTTGTTTCTTCTTGTCCCCTTTTTCATCCTGTCTTCTACCTTCGGTACTGTAGATCTTCATTCTTCCGATCCAAAGATCTTCACTCCAGCGCCGACGAACCCAGGCTCCACCCCCCGCCGCGGCGTCTTCCACCGAAAGGCTCGCTGCTCAAACGTCCTGCCACCATCTTGCAGCCACTGCAAAGCAAGGCCCGGGAGTCGCTGCCAAAGTCCTTCTTGAACTCATTCCTGCCAATTCGTCATTGCCATGACGACTGGCTTGTTGAAACCTCAAGGCCCTGTTTTTTGTGTTGGAAAAGAACTGTAGAAAATGGGAAAGGAGGGCAAACTGTTGATGAGTTGGATGCTGGATTGTCCTTTTTCCCACCTGCGGATGACAGCAAACATGGGTAGTATTGGCATGGATTTTTTTTTTAGAAGACTGGATTGGGCGGGATTGGGACATGAAGTTCCACTACCAAAAATTTCTTGCTTGCCCACTGACCTTCCCAAAGGGCAAAGATCGAAGTGCCGAGTTCAACGTGCTTCAACGCGGTTCGTTAAGCATGCTGAGCTGACCAACACCCTGCACCATCGATCGCACCGATGTGGATCGATCGATCCAGAAGAAACCCCCAAGGGACCTGAAACGGCGCAAAATCTGAAGCTGAACACACAGGACCGCTCCTAACAGTCTTCATGTCGACGTGGATCTTTCGCTTTTGCTCTTCCTGCAGGGCCTTGGCGAAGTCCAGGTGGGACCTTGGGAGTGTCGAAGGTCGAAGTGGTCTCGGTCTCTGACGGCATGGCTTGAAAAAAGCCTCTGGTTGGTGAAAACAGGAGCATGTCACCTCCAGTCACTGAAAAACACATCATTAAAAAAAAACAAAACAAAAAACAAACATCCATCATGTTGAATCACCAAGCAAGCAAATCTGCCTGCCACCCTGTGGATATTGTTATGATTGTCGGAAGATCAACTGCAGTGCCTCTAAAGCATTCAAAATCCACATGCACTGGACTCGCAGCTTTCTCTTTTCCTCAACTATGGTGCAGCACGATCCCGTTTGTCCGGGTGGTGCCACTTGCAATTGCGTTTGAAGTCACAGGTGCCCATCGACATGTAGTAGGGGCATACCGAGGCCCAAGGTCTCAGGGGGAAGCCTTCCGAGTTGAAGGTCACTTTCATGCCTTCGGGATGGTCAAAGCGACACGTGGTCCCAACGCGGCAGGTGCCACTCTTCGCAAAGACTTCACAAATGCGTGCGCCGGGGCGCATGGGAAGCCCCGCGGAGTTGAGACCCTCCTTGGTGGAGGCTGGGGGTCCGGCATCGTTGCGCAGCTTGGAGAGAAACGCCACATCTTCTTCTCGACCCGCGTTCGTGTAGGTCTCGCGCAGGAACTTCCGTTGGGTGGCATCCAAGGAACCGCCACCTCGTAGCTCAGCCTCAATTGCTTTGATGGCAGCTGTGAAGACCATGGATAAAGACTTGGCAGCATTGAGCTGTGTCAAAGCCCGCAGCACATCCAGGGCCTCACTCAAGCTGAAGCGCTTGGCATCGGATGCCTCCAAACCCATCTGGAAACATTTCTTCAGAGCAGGTCCTAAGATCTCGAATAAGCCCAGGTCATAGAACTTCACGCGTGCAGCTGCAGCGCAGACCGCACACAGTTCCCGTGGCTCGCATAAGTCCTTGATGGGACGTTTGCTCAACACCTCAGCGAGGCGCAACATCTGTGGCAGCGTCTGGACGTCCGCCGGCTCCACCGCGGCCGGAGACGGCGAGCGCGAGCGGGCGCCGCGGTCCTCGGGCTCGCGCTCGCGGGAACCGGAACGGCTGGCGTCGCTGCCTTCATCGCCACTGTCCATCCAAGCGTACGCCTTCTGTCGCGTGGGGCGCTCCCCGTTCGCCTTCGCCTCACCGTCGTCCTTCTCGTTCTCGGCCTCCACCTTCTCCACCCTGTCCTTGTCATGACCCACCTCCGCCTGGCACCCCGGTGGGCTACGACTGCGTGACAGGGAGGATGCCTGGTGGGTCTTGGCCTTAGCGGCATCGGCTTTGGCAGCTGGAGCTTCAACAGCTTCAGAGTCACCGGCCAGCTCTCCTTCCAATTCCAGCTGCCATCTCTTCTTCTGCCGTGGACGCATGAAAAATCTGCACTACAAAGCCCTTAGACTCTTAAATGGAGAATATGCCTGCCTGGTCTTTTTCCAATCAAGGTGTCCAAGAGACAGAATCTAGTGCAATTGCCATTGTCAACTACGTGCCTAACATCTACGGCGAAATGTCTACGGCTTTCCCGAACGGATTTCACGCTGCACCCTGAATCTTTTTGGTGGAAACTGCAAGAACCTCCACATGTCCCGCTCTCAAGCTCAAGTTGAGCCAAGCTGAGGCAAGTGTTTCTCGTCTGGCATGACTTCACATCTCATCTCACATGACTTCAGTGTCACTGATGGCAACCGTGTTTCGCCAACACAGCATGTCTCTGTGATGCCCCGTCTGTTGATCCTCTGTGATTTCTTCCTCGGGCTCATCCTCCTCCGTCGATGACGGGTGAAGAGTGTCACGAGAATTGGGTTGGGTGGCGCTCTAAGAAAGCTTTTACTGAGCTCTAATAAGAGCTGGGCTCCGAAGTAATAACCAAAGATACCCCGTCAGAGACATATAACCAGTGTGCTCTGTTGAATACATCTAGTAACCCTGCGGATAAGAACACCCCACGGCCAAGCCCAGCCACTACGTCTTTCCCAGAGTGCTACAGAATTGCAATGTTTTTGCCATGTCTTGAGGAGTAAAATCTGCCCAGCTACATCTCATTAAACTATTCATATATACATATATTATACTAATACATGTGGGTGTGTGTTCATTGTCAACAACCTATGGCCCTATGGCCTATGGCTAAGTTTGCCAAATCTGCAATCCGCTCTGCGGGTGCTTCTCGTCTCCTCACCCAGCAAGGCTTTCAGCTTCTCGATCTCAGAAAACGCCAGGTGGCTTCATGGGTTGGGACAATCTAGGCATTTACAATAGGATGTTCTGTCGCTGGACCCATAGTTTTCTATCTTTCTGCAGTCATCCAGCTTACAACATCACGGAATCCTGCACATATACTGTTCATGGAGGCCCGCTCTTTCTGCAGCATCCAGCACACAATAGCACACATATCCCCTGTCACTACCATGAACTGCCACTAAACAGTGGGTCCATCAATGAATCAACCGTCTTCAGCCGAGGAGAGAGTGCATAATGGATATTCGGATGTGAGCGGTTACCCAAGCGATGAGTCTCATTGATGGTCCCAAAGAATATCCTGGGCACACCCGTTGTCTTCTTGCCCCTGCAGCGCCAACAGAGCCAAAAGCCACACCCTTTTAGAGATGCCAGCGAAACAGGGGTTTCAGCTCAACGGGTTTCTAGAAGGACTGGGCTGGGGAGGTATGGATCCCCCATGTGCAAAAATATATAGGAAGGTTCCGGTGCAGACCATACATGAGTGAGGAGGGAGCAGGCAGCAGATGATGAAGTGAGGAGGAGGCATGGCATGTTTGTTTCACCGTTGCACCTTGCCCAAGGGTTATCCCCACCGTAGCAGTGAGTCAATCTTTCTGATCCTTGATTCGGAGTAAAACTGAAGTGGCTCGACCTGAGAACTGACATCTCCAGCAACTCCGCAAACCCATCAGGGTTACTTTCAGCCTGTCTCGTCGCTTCGGAAGACTGAGTTGCCAGCAGTCTTCCTGGTCTTGCTGCCTTTCTTGCCCTCTTTTCCTGGCTGCCGAGCCACACGTGTCCCGTTTCCCGCCTCCAGCGGCTCCAACACCACGTCCGACTTCGTGATCCGGTCAACGGGTTACCCGGGTGGAACGGAAGGCGCCCACGGTGACGTGGCGCGGAGGCTCCGCGCTCTGCGGCCTTCAGACTCCAACTTCGCCAAGGTGTCTCTTATCACCTCCTGAGGCGATTCGGAGACGTTTTTGGGCGGACGGGAACAGGGGGCGAAGGCCCAAACGCCCAACTGTTCCTGTGGTGGAAATGACTTGGTAAAGCGATGACCCAGTTCCATGGATCGTTCCATGGATCGCTTTTCTATCTTTTCTATCCATGACTCTTTAGACTCCAGTTCCATGGAGGGTTTTATCAACGTTATCAATGAGTCTAAAGATGTCTAAGTCTGAATACATGTTCCATACGTTGAAAAACCATCTTCGACTCGCGGATCAAAGCACTTTCGGCTCAAACTTGTCTGCACCTTGGCCTTTTCCTTGTCCTCATCGCTGGTCTCTTCCTCCTCGCAGAAAGCCCGCTGAGCGGAGTCGAAACCACCGTGTGTGACGGAGGGCGACTTGGTGCTTCGAGGCGACGGAGCAAGCGTGCTCGGTTGCGGGTCCATCTTCCATGACCACCGTGACCAGTCGGTTGTCGGAAATTCATGGCCAGAGCATCAAAACATGTCACGAATTCGCCAGAAAAAGAAAAAACAATTGGTATGATCGGACTGCTGAGCCGATGCAAACTTGTCCAACTGACATGCGGCTGTCCAGTAGTAGCTGGTTTCTCGAACACGCAACCAGCCATACTTGATGTTTGTGAGTGTGTGTGTGTGTGAGTGAGTGCGTGCTAAGCACAGCCACTTTCAAGTTGGTTCCTACAACTACAACTGGCAAACACA